CCTACCTTGACTCCCTATATAGGGAACTTAACTTATGTAAACAAATGGAATGCTTAATTTGGGGATACATATATATTTCATAATAATTAGCTGAGTCTCAGCCAGTAACAGCAGCTGAGCTTTAGCTGTAGGTGGCCAATTAAACAGCCCATGCCTAAAAGAGGCAGATGCTGCTCTGTAACCAATCAGGCAGATTTGGAAATCTGTCTTTGCTCTATTAAACTCTATTAAATTTAATTTGCTTGAATTTATTTTTTGCTTTAACAAATCTGCAAAGATCCCATTTCCAAATAAGGTCATATTCACTGTATGGATATTAGGACTTGAACACGTCTTTTTGAGGTACACAGTTCAACTCACAGCAGCTACTATAGTTATGTAGATGGATGCATGTTTAGTTTATATGGCCTAAAGACTTTTTAAAAAAGTTAACTAGAGGACCTGCATTTACTAGAGACTAATTTTATTTGTGCCCTCAGGAGGTAGAAGTTCTAAAAACTGAACTTGAAGCATCTCAAAGACAACTTCAGGGTAAAGAGGAAGCATTGAAAATTCTTCAAAGCATGGTAAGAAATTTTTTTAAAAACTTTTATCATTTATACATTCCAACAATAAGTGATATAGTTTGAAATTTTCTTATTTTAAGGAATTATTTATTTTATTTAACTAATTTATTTTTAATTTGACCACAGAAAGACACAGAGAGAGAGAAAGAGAATGAGAAAGCAAGCTGCCATGTCCGGCCTGCGGTCGGCCAGCTGTATGGGAGTCCAGTGCCTTAACCACCATGCCACCTGCCAGTCCCTAGTTTGAGCTTTTAAAAAAAAAACCAACAATACTTAATATTTTCACTTTTAGGTATGGATTTTTAAAACAGCTTTGTAATTTATATGCCATGGCTTTTTTTAGGCATATGGTACAATTTATTTTTACTAAGTTCTGAGTTCTATCACCACGGTCTAATTTGAGAATATTTCCAGCACCCAGAAGAAGGAACCTGTGCCCCTTAAACAGTCATTGCTCATTCCCATCCCCTGCTTCAGACAACCACTAATATAATTCCTGTCTTATAGATTCGTCTTTTCTGTGTTATATACATACAATCATATAATATGTGATTGGATTTTTTCAGTTAGTATTTCTTTTTTATCTATTTATTTGTTCTGATTTTCAAGCCACTGGGTCTGGGACTTGAACCTTGGTTGACCATATGGGAATCCAGTGCCTTATGCCTTAACCACCATGCCAACTGTTGGCCCCTCAGTAATTTTTTTTTAAGAGAAATTTTTGCTATAGGGAGCATGTGCTTGCTGGAGAGACAGAGAACTAGAAAGCAAGAAATCACCTCCGCAGGGGGATGGCCATGCCACAATCCCTTCTCCTTCATTCTCCTCTCAGGATCTTGGGTATGCATACATGCATGCTTGAAGTGAGTTTTTTGTTGTGTTTTTGTTTTTGTTTTTGTCTATTTATTTGTTTTTGTTCTATGGTGTGAGTTTTAAGTTTCCAGGCCCAGGACTCGAACCATGGTTGACTATGTGTGAGTCCAGCAACGTAACTGTTACGCCATCTGCTGGTCCTGGCCCCTCAGTATTTTTGAGGTTCATGTGTTATAGCATATATCAGTACTTTCTTCATTTTTATTGCCAAGTAATATTCCATACTACATTTGTTTCTTGTTTTATTTTTTAATTTTCAGATGGCGTTGCACTCATCAGAGAGACAGAGAGAGTAGGGAGGAGAAAGCATCCCTCTCAATGGGGTGTAGTCACACAATCTCTTCTTCACCTCTCTATCCTGTTAGGATTTTAGACATGAATACACACATGGCTGGCATGTTTTTCAAGCCACTGGGGACAAGATTCAAACTGCAGTCAGCCATGTGGATCAGGCTCCCTTAACAACGAGTTCTAGGGCTGGCACCATATGGCATTTTGCTTATCCATTCACCAGCAGATGGACAGTTGTGTTGTTTCTGCTTTTTGACCATGACATATAAAACTACTGTGAATGTTATCTTTGTGTCAAAAAGTCATTTATGTCATTGAGAAAGAACCAAACCAAGATCTGACTTTTGAACTATCAAACTCTCCACAAAAGTTGTCACTGTGAAATTCTCAAGTTTATTTTCTCTTGTCTTAAGAATGTGAACAGGACCAGCCCCATAGCCTGCTGATTAAGGAGCTAGACCCCACATGGCCAACCACATGATTTGAATCCCTGCTTCAGTGTCTTGAAAAACACTGGGCAACATTACAACCAACCAATTTTTTTTTTTTTTAGAGGTTTTTGCTATAGGGCCTGTGCGCTCACCAGACAGAGAGAGACAGAGAGACAGAAAGCGAGAAATCTCCCCCCGAGGGGTGTTTTCCACTAGAAGTTTTATAGTTTGAGGTCTTAGGTTCAGATCTTTGATCTATTTTGAGTTGTTTCTTTTTAATGCTGAAAGATGGGAATCCAGTTTCATCTTTCTGTAAGTAGATACCCAGTTTTTCCAACACCATTTGCTAAAGTGGTTTTCCTTTTCCCACTGGAATGACTGGTATCCTTTGTCAAAAATTGGTTGGCTGTGGGACTAGCAGTTAGCATAATGGCTGTGTCGCTGGGCTCCCATGTAGTTGACTGCGGTTCGAGTCCTGGACCTGGTGACTTAAATTCATGCTGGGCGTGTGTGCATGTGTGCCCAGTAGAGACGAAGGGATTGTGGTGTGGTCACCCCCCCTGGGGGGGGTGATTTCTCACTTTGTCTCTCTCTGTCTTTTTGGTGAGTACACGTGCCCTATAGCAAAAACCTCTCCAAAAAAAGAAAAAAAAATCTTGACACATGTTCTTAGAATAGAAGCTTAATAAATGACCTGGGCTGACTTGTAGCCTAGTAGTTATGAGAGCAGATCCCCACGGCCAGCTACATCCCAGCCTTGAGGGCTTAAGAAACATGCTGACTGGGAACAAGTTAGCATAATGGCTATGTTGCTGGACTCCCACATAGTCAACCGCAGTTCACGTCCCTGACCCAGTGGCTTAAAACTCACACTGGGCGTGTGTGCACACGTGCCCAAGATCCCAAGAGGAGGGTTCCTCAAAGACCTACAAATAGAGCTACCATATAATCCAGAATCTCAGAATACTCAGTCAGAAAAGCGCTTGCACATCAGTGTTTATTGCAGCATTATTCATGATTGTTAAGACATGGAACCAACCCAAATGTCCACAAACAGATGAATGGACTGAAAAAGAATACTATTAGAATACTATTCAGCCATAGCAAACAAGACACTGGCATTTGATAGAAAGTGGTCAAATATGAAAGATTTACTGCTGAGTGAAGCAAGCCAGACTATGAAGGAAAGATATTGCATGTCTCCACTTATACCACTGTCTGCACTCTATGGTGGAGACTAAAAGATTGGAGGACATAAAAACAGTGAAAATAGTTATGGACATTGGAGACAGTGTGAAAAGACCATGGGAAAAGGGAAGAGTATAGGGAAGGAAATCAGGGAGAAAAAATAGACAAAATATTTGTGGGACACAGAGGTGGTTTATTACCTTTATTACATATGATAACATGTATAGCATTCTTTTTTTTTTTTTTTACATGTATAGTATTCTTAACTGGACTGGTCTGAGATGTATTTCATGTTTGGTAAATTCTCTTTACAAGTCAAATGATGTATAGAAATTGAATGTTTAAAAAAATTATAAGAATGATAAAAATTAAAGAATAATAAAGAAAAAAAGAAAAAACATTGAGCATATGTACATACGTGCCCCAAATCCTGACAGGTTAGAGAAATGAATAAGAGATTTCAGTGTGACCACATCCTGTTGAGTGCTTTCTCTCTCTTTTTCTCTTTGTTTTTCTCTGGGGAGAGCACATGCCCTCTGGCAAATTAAAAAAACAAACAAACAAACAAAAAACCCAAAAAACGTGAACTTCACCATGTGTCTAAGAGAGATTAGAAATTTAATGTAGGGGCCAGCAGGTGGCATAGCGATTTTGTTGTAGAACTCCCACATGACCAATCATGGTGAGTCCCAGATCTGGTGGTTTGAAAATCACACCAGGTGTTGTGTGTGTATGCCCAAGATCTCAGGAGAATGGAGGGGAGGAAAAGGGATTACAGTGTGGCTATCCCTCCAGGGGGTAATTTCTCACTTTCTCTTTCACTGTCTCTGTCTCCCTGTCTCTGTGGTGGGCATATGTGCCCTGAGGCAAAAACCTCTTTAAAGAAAAAATAAAAAGAGGCCAGCAGATGGCACAATAATTACGTCACTGGACACCCACATAGCTGATCGTGATTGAGTCCCAGACCCAGTGGCTTAAAACTCATGCCGGGCATGTGTGTGTGTGCCTAAAATCCTGAGAGGAGAATGGAGGAGAAGGGATTGCAGTGTGGCATCCTCTGGGGGGTGATTTATCACTTTCTGTCTCTCTAGCAAGTGCATGTGCCCTATAGCAAAAACTTCTCTTGGGAACCAGCAGTTGGTGTAATGGCTATGTCGCTGGACTCCCATGTAGTAGACCACGGTTCGCATCCTGGGCCCGGTGGCTTAAAACTCACGCCAGGCGCGTGTGCGTGCGTGCCCAAGATCCCGAGAGGAGAATGGAGGAGAAGGGATTGCGGCGTGACCATCCCCCCTCGGGGGTGATTTCTCGCTTTCTGTCTCTATGTCTCTGTCTGTCTGTCTGGCGAGCGCACGCGTCCTATAGCAAAAACCTCTCAAAAAAAAAAGGAAAAAAATTCTCTTAAAAAAGAAAGAAATTTAATTGATTCTGATGCTATTTTAAATTTTTTTTAGGCAATACTTGACAAAGCCACAAGTCATACCCAAGCTGTACTTCAAAAAACTGTGGAACAAAAGAGATCCTTGGAGAAGGTATTTGCCACTTTTAGAATAGACTTGTTCAATCCAGTAAGCTCCTAGTAGAATTTCCTTAAGTTGACTATACTACTGGATATGTCATTTGTGCATGCCTTCTGGTAGCTGTGCTTTATTTTCTGATGGTCTTCCCTTTTGGAATGTGAAAGCTAGAATAGATTGTCATATGCACAATGAATTAAGGTTTTTAGTTTTCTTTTTTTTAATTGCTATAGGAGGGCCAGCAGATGATATAATGGTTATGTCACTGGACTTCCACAGGGCTAACTGTGGTTTGAGTTCCAGACCCAGTGGCTTGAAATCACTGGGTGTGTTTGCATGTGTGCCCAAGATCCTGAGAGAAGAATGAAGGAGAAGGACTTGCGGCATGGTCATCATCTATCAGGAGTGGTTTCTTGCTTTCCCTTTCTTTTTTAAAGAATTATTTTATTTAACTTTATTTATTTATTTATTTATTTATTTTATATTAATTTGATCAGAGAGGGAAGTGAGAAAGCAAGCTGCCAGGTCTGGGACTCAAAGCCTGTTCCATCATGTGGGAGTCCAGCACCTTAACCACCATGCCACCTGCCAGACCTTTTCACATTCCCTTTCACTGTATCTGTCTCTCTCTCTCTGATGAGTACACATGACCTAAGGCAAAAAAAAAAAAAAAATCCTCTAAAAATAAATAATAATAAAATTTGCTTGGACCAGCAGATGGCATAATGGTTACCTTGCTGAACTCTCATGTAGTCAACTGTGGTTCAAGTCCTGGGTCCAGTGGCTTAAACTCACGCTGGGCACATGTGTGTCCATGGTCAAAATCCCAAGAGGAGAACAGAGAAGGGAATGTGGTGTGGCCATCCCCCCTGGGGGATGATTTCTTGCTTTTTGTCTCTGTCTCTTTCTGTCTTTCTGGCAAGTGCATATGCCCTATAACAAAAATCTCTCTTAAAAATTTTTTTTTGCGGGACCAGCAGTTAGCGTAATGGCTATGTCGCTGGACTCCCACGTAGTCGACCGCGGTTCGAGTCCCGGACCTGGTGGCAAAAAAGTGGCTTAAACTCACGCCGGGCGCGTGTGCGTACGTGCCCAAGATCCCGAGAGGAGAATGGAGGAGAAGGGATTGCGGCATGGCCATCCCCCCTGGGGGGTGATTTCCTGCTTTCTATCTCTCTGTCTCTCTCTGTCTGTCTGGCGAGCGCACGCGCCCTATAGCAAAAAACCTCTCACCAAAAAAAAAAAAAATTTTTTTTTTGCTATAGAATGCATGTGCTTAATGGAGAGAGTCATAGAGAGAGCTGGGAGAGGGTGAGAAACACCCCCTCAGGGGAGTGGCCCTGCCCTAATCCCTTCCCCTCCATTCTCCTCTCAGGATTTTAGACATCCATATACACAGACCCAGTGTTTTCCAAGCCACCAGGTCTGGGACTTGAAGCATGCAGTTGGTTTTTTTTTGCTATAGAATGCATGTGCTTAATGGAGAGAGTCATAGAGAGAGCTGGGAGAGGGTGAGAAACACCCCCTCAGGGGAGTGGCCCTGCCCTAATCCCTTCCCCTCCATTCTCCTCTCAGGATTTTAGACATCCATATACACAGACCCAGTGTTTTCCAAGCCACCAGGTCTGGGACTTGAAGCATGCAGTTGGCCATGTGGGATCCAACCACCATAACCACCACACTAATAACTGGCTTAGGTTTCCTTTTTGTTTTTTAATTGCCCAATTTTTTTTTTTTTTGAGAGATTTTTACTATGGGGCGTGTGTGATCGCTGGAGAGACAGAGAGAGACAGAAAGCGAGAAATCACCACGCTGCAATCTCCTCTCCTCCAGTCTCTTTTTGGAATTTTGGGCACACACGCACACGCACATGCACTCGGCATGAGTTTTAAGCCGCCAGTTCCAGGACTTGAACCATGGTTGACTATGTGGGAGTCTTGCAACGGAACTGTTACACCATCTGGTGGTATCTAATTTTCCCATTTTACACCAACTGCTGGTCCCTAGTTTTCCCATTTTAAAGTAGTAGATCTAACAAACTGATACTGATTTTTCTTCTTTTTTTCTTTTTTTTACTTTTTTTTTTTTTTAAGTGTTTTGCTATGGCACATATGCACTCACCAGAGAGAGACAGAGAGAGGGAGGATGGCTCACAGGGATGCCCATACCACAGGCCCTTCTCCATTCTCCGCTCAGGATTTTGAGCATGTGCACATACGTGCCTGGTGTCATTTTCCAGCTACTGGGTCCAGAACTTGAACTGCTTACTCGGCTCTATGGGGGCACCTAAACTGCCACACTACCTGCTGCCCCCCTTTTATGCTTCTGCTTGCCTGGCAGGGCCTGCTTCTTTCTAACCATCTCATCCTCACTATAATAGTAGTCAGGAGTCACCCTGGAGGGTCATGGACCCGTGCCTGTTAGGCCTCCCTGGATGAGGCCACCTGGGTTAAGATTTCCAGGAGTGAATCTTGCCCGTGGTGTCCACGTGGGGTTGGGGTGGGCACTGAGAAATCTGGGGTCAGCCCAGCGAATTTTAAAGCTAAACAATGGGAAGTCTTTTCTATAGTAAATGAGCTTTGGTAAGTTTTCTGAGGGCTAAGGAAGTGTGTTCTATGTGATTATAAATGTCATGGACTTATTTCGAGCAATAGTTCATTTTTCTCTTTAAAGTAATTTCTGTTAAATGATTAAATTATTTATTTCAGCTATTGACAATGTCCTGAAATGCTTTATTTGCAATGCTTTTTCACGAAAATGCTATTTTCCTTCTCCAGGAAATAAATGCCCTGCAGTGGGAAATAGAATTTGATCAGAGTAGATTTAAAAATATAGAAGAATCTTGGACCCAAAAATATGACAGGTTTGTCTTTATTTTATAATTTTCTTTGAAAATCTTAAAAATGTGTGTACTTCAGATGTAACTTAGACTTTTCTCTTCTTTGAGCTGGCTGTATTATAAAACTCATATTGCTTATCCACTTACCAATTCCAAAATTTCCTGTTATTGTTAATTACATTTTCTTAAGAGAGATTTTTCCCTAGACGGCATGTGTGCTTGCCAGAGAGACAGAGACAGAGAGACAGAAAGCAAGAAATCACCCCCTGGGAGGATAGCCACACTGCATTCCCTTCTATTCCATTCTCCTCTTGGAATCTTAGGCACCCACGCACCCGGCTTGAATTTTAAGCTGCTGGGTCCAGGACTTGAACTGTGGTCAACTATGTGGGCGTCCAGTGATGTAACCATTACACCCTCTGCTGGTTCCTATCTTTTTTAAAAAAAAAAATTTAAAAAGCATGAAGTTGATGTTCAAATAGCTGTGTTGAAATCAAACTTTAGTAAAGAGAATGGGTTTACAGAATGGAGGCCTTGGGCCAGAAGGTGGTGCAGAGGTTAAGGCTCTGGAACCCACATGGCTGCGTATGTGGTCTGAGTCTCGGACTTTGTGACTTGAAAAGTCACACTGGGAGTGTGTCCAGGTGTTCCCAGAATCCCAAGACAAGGCTGGAAGAGAAGGGATTGCGGTATGGCCATCTCTCCTTGGGGTTGATTTCTCACTTTCCTAATCCCTCTCTCTCTGGCAAGTACACATGCCCTATAGCAAAAACTAAAGAAAAAAGGATGCCTCATTACTATATACTTCTGGTTCTGATTATTTTAAAAGTAAATATACAGAAGGGTTAAGAATATATTTGATAGGGGTCAGCAAGTGGCGTTGTGCTTAAGACATTGGATTTCCACATGGCTGACCCTGCTTTGAGTTTTGGACCTCAGAGCCTTGAAAATCACGTGGGGTGGATGTACATGCACAAAATCCTGAGAGGAGAATAGATGAGAAGGTGTTGCAGTGTGGCCATTCCCCCAAGAGGCGATTTCTCACTTTTCTTTTCTCTGTCTTTCTAGCAAGTGCACGTGCTCTATGGCAAAAAATAAATAAATAAATAAATAAATAAATAAAAATAAATAAATAACAGAAGAATATGTTCTAAATCTTACCATACTTTTAAAGTTATTTTTATTTTTTGACACATAAATTCTAGACATTTTGAAGTAGGAAAAGAGGTTTTTGTGTTTTAATTATGGAAATAAAAATGTTCTCACTCATCATGAAAGTGTTAATGTTTTAGTTATTTGAAGGGTATTTTTTTTCCAGACTAAACTGTGAAAACTCAATTCTTAAAGAGAATTTGAAACTGAAAACAGAAGAAATTAAAATGCTAAAGTCTGAAAATGCAGGTAAGTAAAGAGTTGTATTTTGATGATTCTTTAAAAATACTATTTTAAGAAAAAAAAAATAAAAACTATGTTAAGGACCAGCGTATAGCCTGGTGGTTAAAGAGCTGGGTCCCACATGGCTGACTGTGTGGTTTGAATCCTAGACCCACTGGCTTGAAAAACACACCAGGAGCATGTGCATGTGTGCCCAAAATCCCCAAAGGAGGGAGAGATGGAGTAGAAGCAATTGTGGTGTGGCTATTCCCCATGGACTGGGGTCAGGGGGATCTTTTCTCTGTTGCTTTCTCCTTTTCTCTCATTCTCTGTCTCTCTCCTGGGAGCTCATGCACCTGCTGGAAAAACAAGAAGCGGTGGCTTAAAGGGGACAAAAAAAAGCTCTAAATGAAGTCCTAAGGCTAGGAGCGGTAGTTTATGTTGCATAATAATTGAACTATGTACACACCTCTGAGATCTGCTTCTAGGCACCTGATGGAGCTATCTCCTGTGTTAGATTCGTTCAGGACAAGGCTACTCTGACCGACCAGAACCCCTTCTCTTTTTCCTCCTACTCCACCCTGCAAGTGAGAGAGGAAATGAGGTAGTAGGACCCTTTTTGTCTAAATGCTTAGTATGAGAGACTCTCGTGAATATTTTAACTAGGGACCAGCAGTTAGCGTAATGGCTATGTCACTGAACTCCCATGTAGTTGACCACGGTTCGAGTCCCGGACCCGGTGGCTTAAACTCAAGCTGGGCGCGTGTGTGTGCATGCCCAGGATCCCAAGAGGAGAATGGAGGAGAAGGGATTGCAGCGTGGCCATCCCCCTGGGGGTTGATTTCTCGCTTTCTATCTCTCTGTCTCTCTCTGTCTTTCTAGCGAGCGCACGCACCCTATAGCAAAAACCTCTGTAAAAAAATTTAATAGAAAACTCTGGTAAAATTTGGATAGCTGACCTAATTGACATAAATATAATATATGAGGTCTGTCTCACCACCTGGCCATCACTATTCATGAAGTCTCTGAATACTTTGCCTTTACATGTTCCCTTTTTGAAAATCCTACGTTTCTGAGAGCGAAAAAGTTCCAGACTTAGACTGCAAAGTGAAGACATTTCCACATTAAAATAACAACTTAATGGGACCTGCAGTTGGCATAATGGCTGGACTCCCATGTAGTCGACCATGGTTCGAGTCCCGGACCCGGTGGCTTAAACTCACGCCGGGTGCATGTGTGTGTGTGCCCAAGATCTCGAGAGGAGAATGGAGAGGGGATTGCGGCATGGCCATCCCCCCGGGGGTGATTTCCTGCTTTCTGTCTCTCTGTCCCTGTCTTTCTGGCGAGCCCTATAGCAACAGGTTATGTGAGGCCTAAAACTTTCTTATATGGCTTTTCCTAGTTTTGAATGAACAGTATTTGGAGGTCCTCACCATGCTCGATATCAAGCAACAGAAGATGGCCCAGGAGAACTTGCATCACCATAAAAGTGACTTTGCAGAGGTTTCAGGTCTCGAGGTAGGTAAGCAAGTATGAAAGCTGGATGGGAAAGGAATGTTCTGCTTTCCTGCCCTGTTACCCTTTGGTACACATTCTTTTTTTTTTTTTTTTTTTTGCTTTTCCCCTTTGGTACACTTTTTTTTTTTTTTTTTTTTTAGAGGTTTTCGCTACAGGGCGCATGTGCTCGCCAGACAGACAGAGAGAGACATAGAGACAGAAAGGGAGAAATCACCCCCCAGGGGGGATGGTCACGCCACAATCCCTTCTCCTCCTTTCTCCTCTCGGGATACTGGGCACGCACGCACATGCGCCAGGTGTGAGTTCTAAGCCACCGGGTCCGGGACGCGAACCGTGGTCGACTACGTGGGAATCCAGCGACATAGCCATTACACTAACTGCTGGTTCCCCCCTTTGGTACACATCCTAAGACAGCATCATACTTGGCAATTTGAGACTCAGAGTGCGAGGACCATGGGTTTACCAGGTCTGTTCTTCTAGCCTTGCCGTTACCATGCCCTTACGTGTGTCATCCTTGGACATTAGGGAATGTATGGCCACTTCCTATCCCTTTTTATTTTTTATATTTACAGAAGCTATGTTCATACCACCTCACAACTGGGTAGGGACTTAGAGTTTCAGAGTACTTTCACACATGTTATTTTACCTGATCTTCACAGTAGTCTAATGAAGGCTATGTAACAGGGATTATTCCTATTTTAGAGAGTTCCAAATTAAAGGCCAGGTGCATTCAGTTACTTTCCCAAGGTCAATGTGGGTGAACCGGGTTCAGAGTACAGATCTGCTGATGCATTGCTAACAGCTTGCTGGGTGTGTAATGTCTTACGCTGTAGGAGTTTGGCTAGTAAGGTAAAATGGGTTCTGGAATTCATATGAAAAAAGTGTAACAGTGAAGTAGGGGCAGCCACTTACTCATTGTAGAACTTCAAAAGCAGTAGTTCATAATAACACAAAATACTTCTATATAAGCCTGAAGCTCACACTTTCCTGCCTCAGCCTCCCCAGGTCACTGGGATTGCAGGTGCACATCTCACACTCAGCCGTTAGGTTAGGCGAAGAATGGAGCCCGGCTTCCCGTGTGGTTCCATCATACCATGCACAGCAGTGCACACACTGTGACTGGGCTCTACTTTCTTCATTATGATCTTTAGTCAGGTTTTGAGGAGCCAAGGCTGCAGGTAATTCCAGAACAGTGGATCAGCCAAATATTTTAGAATGTATGGCATGGGGACCCACAGGTGGCATGGTGGTTAAGGTGTTAGACTCCCACATAGCCAACTGTGGTTTGAGTCTTGGACCTGGCAGCTTGATAATCATGCTGGGCACGTGTGCATGCATGCATCCAATCCCAGGAGGAGAATGGAGGGAGAGGGATTGCGGTGTGGCCATCCCCTCTAGAAGGTGATTTCTCACTTTCCTTCTCTCTGTTTCTGTTTCTCTCCAGCAAGCACACCTGCCCTGTGATAAAAACCTTAAAGAAAAAAAAAAAAGAAGAATGAATGCATGATTACAGGGTGTATTAATTTTTTAGCAGTGGAAGAATGGTTATTTTCCTCATTGACAATTTTTTTCTTTTTTTAAAAAAATAACTATTTATTTAATTTTATTTATTCATTCATTTTATTTTAATTTAACCAGAGAGAGACACAGAGAGAGAGAGGGAAAGTGAGAAAGCAACCCCCCAGGTCCAGGACTCGAACCATGGTCGGCCATATGGGAGTGTCCAGAGCCTTAACCACCATACCACCCTCTGGTCTCCCTCACTGACAAATTTTTTTTTTTTTTTTGCTATAGGGCAAGTGCGCTCGCCAGACAGAGAGAGACAAAGAGACAGAAAGCGAGAAGTCAGCCCCCAGGGGGGATGGCAACGCCGTAGTCCCTTCTCCTCTATTCTATTCTCAGGATCTTGGGCATGCACACACACGTGTCCAGCCTGAGTTTCAAGCCACTGGGTTCCGGACGTGAACCGTGGTCGACTACGTGGGAGTCCAGCGACATAGCCATTACAGTAACTGCTGGTCCCCCTCATTGACAAATTTTTTTAAATCTTTTTTTTTTTTTTTTGTATGCCCTTGTTTTTACTAGAAGGTGCATACACTCACCAGTGTGTGCCCAAGATCCCGACAGGAAAATGGAGGAGAAGGGATTGTGGCATGGCCATCCACCCCCCCAGGGAGGTGATTTCTTGCATTCCGTCTCTCTCTCTCTCTGTCTCTTTGGTGGGCACATGTGTCCTATAGCAAAAACCTCTCAAAAAAAAAAAAAAAAAAAAGGAATGTCAGAGTTTTCCTCTTTGGTAGGCTCAATTCCTGCCATGAACTCAGAATATAGGAGGCCAATGCCAAGATGTAAGCTTTTAGGTGAAAAGAAGGAACATAGATGTTTTTGAAGCTTTGTTCTAGGTAATGGCATTCTTTTTCATGTGTGGTTAATCTCTACTTGGATTCTAAAATCCTGTTCTCAGCTTTCTTATTTTTTTCTTAGAGATTTTTGCGATAGGGTGCATGTGCTTGCCAGAGAAACAGAAAATGATAAATCACCCCCAGGGAGGATGGACACACTACAGTCCCTTCTCCTCTATTCTCTTCTTGGGATTTTGGGCTGTGGGTCCAGGACTTGAACAATAATCAACTATGTGGGAGTCCAGTAAAATAACCATTATTCCATCTGCTGGTTCCTTCTGTTTTTCTTAATTTTCCTTCAGTGTCTTTGGATTAGATGCTTGAATAGTGGTGTACATGCCACTTTGTGTACAGCTAAAGCCCTGTCTTACTTAATAATGGGAGTAATGCTTTTGGATTTAAAGCTTGCAGTCCTCGGAACCTGCCTTTGTCACGGTCCTGGAGGGAGCCCCTGTTCTTGTGCCAAAATGGCAGCATCTGCTCGGAAACTGCTTCTTCAGCTCAAACAAGAGGTATGGCACGTTACCACACAGCAAACACTTTGGTTTTGTTTCTCTTTTAGACTAAATGGAAGTACCTGCAATAATTAACTTCATTTTTAGTAGTCATTGGCTATGGAATTTATGCTTAGTTTTATATAATAATATGAATTTGTTAGCTACAAATAATACTTGGCATGGTATTTAAAGCTATATGAAGTCCTTTGCCAAAATTGGTAGTTAATGCTTGCTAAATTCATATTTTTCTCACTATTCATGGTTCCCAAATTACGACAGAATGGAAGAAAAAGTTGCATTGATGATTAAGATCAGTAGGATCAAAATTTACTCCATGGAATAGAATACTACTCGGCCATAAAAAACAAGGCCCTAGAATTTGATAGAAAGTGGACAAATATGGAAGATTTGTTGCTGAGTGAAGCAAGTCAGGCTATGAAAGAGAGACATTGTATGTCTCCACTTAACATATACTGAGTGTCCGCACTCTATGGTAGAGACTGAAAGACTGGAGGACATTCAAGCATTAAAAGTTGTTATGGACACTAGAGATAAAGTGGAAAGAGGGCGGGAAAAGGGGGATAGTGTAAGGAAAGGGAAATTTGGGGAAAAAATAGAGAGATAAGACATTTGTGGGACACAGATATCGTTTATTATCTGTTAATGAGGATGTGTATAGTATTCTCGACTGGGCTGGACTGAGGTATTATAACACGCTGGATAGTCTCCTTACAATCTAAATGATGTATATAGTGATTGAATGTATAAATAATAATAATAATAAAATAAAAATAAATAAAAATGTAAAAAATAAAATAATTTTTGGGGGGGGAGAGATTTTTTTGCTATAGGGCGCATGTGCTTGCCAGACAGACAGACAGACAGAGACAGAAAGACAGAAAGTGAGAAATGGCCATGCTGCAATCCCTTCTCCTCCATTCTCCTTTCAGGATCTTCGGCATGCACGCACACATGCCCGGTGTGAGTTTTAAGCCACCGGGTCAGGGACACGAACTGCGGTCGACTACATGGGAGTCCAGCGACATAGCCATTACGCTAACCGCTGGTCCCCAAAATAAATTAATTTTAAAGAAGTAAATAAATAATTCTTTTTAAAAGAGTTTAAAAAGGAAAAAACAAAACAAAACAAAACAAAAAACAAACAAACAAAAAGCAGTAGGATCAGCAATACTGAGTGATGGGAAGTCCCAAAATATGGAACTCCTTTGAAAAGCAGCCAGATGCAGTATATGAAACCTTGGTACCAGCCAGACCTAGCTTTGCATCTTAGTTAGTGCCATCACATACTAGCTGTGTGGCTTTGGGCAGGATAAGCCTCAGTTTAGTCATCTGTTATTCAGAGAGTAGTAATAGCCTTGGAAGGTTGTAAGAAACAGACATATAATGTTTAGCATAATGCCATGCAGCTGCCAGGCATTTAGTCAAACCATATCTGTCATCGTAATTGAACTTCAATTACAAATATAGTACTTCAACCATAATTCTAAAAATGTATTTTTAAATTGAAGATAATGGAATTTAAAGTCTTTTTTAAAATTAAACTTTATTTATTTGTTTACTTATTTATTTTAATTTGATCAGAAAGGGACAGAGTGAGAGAGGGAGAGGGAGAGAGAGAGAGAGAAAGCAAGCTGCTAGGTCTGGGACGCAAATTGCTGTCAGCCATGTGGGAGTCCAGCACCCTTTTACCACCATGCCACTTGCTGGCCCTTACTTTAACAATTTTTAAGAAAAGCGTAAGATTGGGACCAACAGATGGTGTAATGCCTACATCGCTAGACTCCTACATAGTTAACCATGGTTCGAGTCCTGGACCCGGTGGCTTAAACTCATGCTGGGCGCATGTGTGTGCATGCGTATGTGTGTGCGTGCTCAAGATCCTGAGAGGAGAATGGAAGAGAAGAGATTGTGGTGTGGCCATTACCCCCCCACCCCCGGAGGGTGATTTTTCACTTTCTGTTTCTCTGCCTCTATCTTTCTGCGCCCTATAGTAAAAATCTCTCCAAAAAAAAAAGGCATAAGATTATCTTGATCAGAATCAAGGTCAGCTTTGGGAAGTGTTCAAAAAGTGGTATTCACAGTTATTCTAAGTGATATTATCTGGACCAGCCCAAGGTCAGTGAAATGGAGATACTGGCATCCTCCCTTCTCTCCTGCCAGGCCCTTCCACCTGGGATTTGGGCAGAATATACAAGGCCTGCCTGTCAGGGATAGAGAGATCCAAGAGTTGGCTTAGCCGGCAGTCTAGATCCGAGTGGGCTGCTTCTGCGGAGACGGATCAGCAAGTGCAGATTAGTCCAAGCAGACAAAGTAGATCAGAGACAGGCGGTAGACCCCTGCTAGTGGGGAGCCTGCCTTTACTACTCTGGTTCACCATTCAGGGAAATTGTCCCAGTTTTGCTTCTGACACATTCCATACTTTCTTTCAAAACCAGTTGAAAATTTTGGAGAAGAATAAGGAAGAAGCTTACATAATGGCGGATGCATTCAGAATTGCATTTGAGCAACAATTAATGAGGAAAAATGACCAGGCACTAAGATTGACACAGATGGATAAAGTATGTAAAAAAGCAACAAAACAGATAAATTGGAAGCACCTTAAAGAGGATGGTAACTATGAACTATAATGGCATAATTAAGTGTAATTTTAATTGTTATTTGGTTGAAATCAAAGTAGATAAAGTGTGTTTAATACACTGTGCGAAAATATCATTGTAATTTCACATACAGTTGTGATTTATTTAAACATTTAGTAGCTCTGAAGAAAAAGAGTCTTTTGGTATTACTTGCACATGAGCTAGTCACTGGAATCAACAAATCTACAAAATAATGAGACTCTCTTTTCACATATTCTTATATTTCATTTAAACAAGACCGTGTTTGGTGGAAAATATTTATGAAAGAAGTGCCAGGTGCTTAAAGAGTAACTGCCAAAAGGAAGTAATATTGAAAGTGATATTTCTTTTGAAAAATAGAATTATTTATTTAATTTTATTTATTATTATTGTTATTTTAAAATTTTTTCTATAGGGCATGTGCACTCACCAGAGAGAGACAGAGAGAGATAGAGGAAAAGTGAGAATGCAAGCCCTAGGTCTGAGACTTGAACCATGGTCTGCTATGTGGGAGTCTAGCACCTCAACCACCATGCCACCTGCTGGCCCAAAAGTGACATCTCAACCCAACATTAAATGTATCTAGGTAATTAAACTCTATTGAAATGTGTTCTTCTGTAAGAGACATTTAGAGGTAGCGGAAAAATTTTAACATCACCAAATTAATAAAACAGTCATAAAAACAGGCTGGCCATGTGTGTGTGTGTCCAGAAGCCTGAGAGGAGAATGGAAGAGAAGGGATTGCTGTGTGTTTGTCTTCCTGGAGGATGATTCCTCACTTTCCCTTTCTGTCTCTGGTGAGCACAAGTGCCCTATAGCAAACCTAAAACACACACACACACAAGTTTAGGTTTAAGTTTTGGTTCATGAGCCTATCAACAGTTCATGGCTTTGTTTGAGTATTGTATTAGTTTATATAAAATATAAAATATATAAAAGTGGCATGTGAGAAAAAAATTACAATTAAAGTAAATCTTTCAGTATAAGCAAAATAGCTGTTATTTTTATGAAATTGTAGTTTCTCTAAGTAGTCATTATCAATTTGCATTTACCAGTATTCAATAGAATTCATATTTTTCAGGGCTGGCTTGCAGCCTGGTGGTTGAGGGAGCCAGATCCATCTAGACAACCAACCTTCAAATCTCAATCCCAGCAGCTTGAAAAAATATGCTAAATGGATATGAGTGCCTGCCCCAAATCTCAGCAGGATGGGAAGATGAAGGAGAAAGGATTATGGCATGGCCATGCCCCACTGGGGGGCACTTGCTCTCTCTCCTTTTCTGTCTCTCTCTTTATGGTGAGTCTGAGTACCCTCTGGCAGCAAATGAAAAAAAAAAACAACTAATTGATTCAGTGAAAATGGTAATTAAATTATAATTTGAAGCCTCTTATCAGTCAAGATAGATTAAAGTTTATAGAAGTTTAACTATTTTTCTTTTTTTGGAGAAGTTTTTGCTATAGGGCACGTGAGCTCGCCAGAAAGAGAGAGACAGACAGAGAGACAGAAAGCGAGGAATCACCCCCCAGGGGGGATGGCCACACCGCAATCCCTTCTCCTCCATTCTCCTCTCAGGATCTTGGGCACACATGCATACGCGCCCAGTGTGAGTTTAAGCCACTGGGTCCGGGACTCGAACTGTGGCTGACTACATGGGAGTCCAGTGACATAGCCATTACACTAACTTTTTGTTTTTGTTTAACATTTTTGTTTGTTTGTTTAACATTTTTTTTTGACAGATTTTTTTTTGCTATATGGTGTGTGTGCTTGCCAGAGAGACAGAGAAATAGAAAGCAACAAATCACCCCCAGAGGATGTGGCCATGCTACAGTCCTTTCTCCTCCATTCTCTTCCTGGGATTTTGGGCACACACACACGTGTCCAGTGTGAGTTTCAAGCCCCGAGGTCCAGGACATAAGCTGTGGTCGACCATGTGGGAGTCTAGCACCATAACCACTACACCATGTGCTGCCCCTATTTTATTACTATTTTTCATTCTTAGAAGGCGTATGTACTTGTCAGAGAGAGAGAGGAAGAGAGGAATGGAGAAAGCACTTTAATCCCTTTCTCCATTCCTCCAACTTGTCAGGATTGGGGACACTCATGTACATGTGTCCAGTGTACTTTCCAAACCACCAGGGCTGCTATTCAAATCACAGTTGGTCATGCGGGATCCAGCTCCCTTAACTGCTAAGCTATAGGGCTGGCCCACCATTGGTGATTAACTCAATCTTTGGGTCCCCTCCCATCCTTGGACATTGAGGAGTGGGGCTGAAAGTTACAGTCCTCTAATCTGATTGGTCTCCCTGGCAGCCAGCCCCCATTCTGTAGATATCCTAGAATCCACAAAGACCTCATTAGAACAAAAGATGCCCCTATTATCTAGGAAATTCCAAGGGATTTAGGATTCTATGTCACAAGCTTCTATCACTCAGGGAATTACAAAGGAATCTTAGGAATCTGTGATAGGAAATGGGGTTAAAACAGAATATTCTCCTAGCACCCCTTTCTTTTTTAAAAAATATTTATTTAATTTTATTTATTCATTCATTCATTTAATTTGACCAGAGAGAAAATGAGAAAGCAAGCTGCCAGGTCTGGGACTCAAACCCTGGTCAGCCATGTGGGAGTGTCCAGCACCTTAACCACCACGCACCTGCTGGTCCCTCCTAGCACCCCTTTCTTTTCTTTTTTTTTTTTTAAAGAATTATCTAACTTTATTTATTCATTCATTCATTTAATTTGACCAGAGAGAAAATGAGAAAGCAAGCTGCCAGGTCTGGGACTCAAACCCTGGTCAGCCATGTGGGAGTGTCAGGTGCCTTAACCACCACACCACCTGCTAGTCCCCATCCTAGCACCCCTTTCTACAAGCATTTTAGGAGCTTTGTGTCTGGAACTGTGTTCTTTTACTGGGAGTAGAGACCAGATATGTGTGTGTGTGTGTGTGGTGTGTGTGTGTGTGTGTGTATATATATTTATCTTGTATAACAGTATCATGCTCAGCTATTGACAAACTTGAGGAATTTTTTCACAGAATACGTGATTCTAAAAGGTGTATCTCCCAATCTTTGTGTCTCAATAATTATGGAACTGGAAGCAGAATTTAAAATAAGTGATTAATTTCTTTTCTTTTCTTTTAATTTTGTGAGGGCACACATGCTCACTGGAAACAGAGAGAGAGGGATGGAGGGAGTAAGAAAGCACCCTCATGGGGGATGATCACGCTGTGGTCCCTTCTCTCTCTTCCTCCTGTCAGGATTTTGGGCACACATACATGTGGGCCTGGCCTAATTTTCAAGCCACCGGGTCTGGGACTCTAACCATGCTCTTGGCCATGTGGGATCCAGCCACTTCAAGCACCTTGCCACTGGCTGGTCATACCCTCATTTTAGAGATGAAAGACAGAAAGCTCAGAAAGCTCATCCATGGTCATATAGTTAGAAGTGGCTTAATGAGGACTCCAGTTCAGGTCTTTCTGGCTAGAAAGCAGTCTGCATTGTTCAGAGGCTTCTGTGGCCTGCAGTAGTTTGTTGGGTCTTCATACTGTTTTCAAATAATGGACTAGTGGCTGACATTGAATATTCAAAGATTTCACATACATACCTGGATTTTTTGGCTGCTTGTGTGGACTGTGAGGACCCGGTGACGTTGACCGTGTTCTGATTCAGCCGCCAGCGGACAGAGCACAGCCTCGTTTCTCCCAGTTGCCCTCGTGCCTGCTTTCCCAGGCCTGCTTCTGAAGTCCATGCTCTTCCCGTTACGTTGTGCTGCCTGACACGCTGGCCCGGAGGGCTCCTGAGAGCATGCCCTCCCTCCAGAATGAGTTAGGAATGAACTCGCCTTGGCTCATAGTTCTTTTACTGGAAGTACATCAGTGAGTGTGATTTTGTCTCAGCTGGATTTCCATGTTCTGTTTTAGGATTCCAATCTCAAAGACATAAGAAGACCTTAGGGCAGAAACTGTTGAGTATGCTCCCTTCAGAAAACAGTCCTCAGAGGCCTGAAGACCAGGATAATCCTCAAGAAGTCCTTAAAATGCTAATAGATTTGGTTAGTATATTTGCTTTCTTTTGCTAGAGTTTGTGGTTAAGCTAGTCTGCTTGTTTCCTAGAATTCAGCTCTCTGTTCTTGCCTTTTACACCCTTTTCCCAGTTGGGGTACAGCCTCCAAATTCAGGAACTTCAACTTCTTAAACTCTCTGAATGCTCTTTCTACTTCTATCCATGTTTAAAGCGCCACCTGTGAAGAGAGGGGACTCCTGTAATTAATGCCAGCTAGCTCCACCATCTGCATTTATATGTACAGTTCTTGCCAAGGCCATCTGCTTATTCAGGCATTTTTAAAATTATTTTTTTAATGAATTTTATTTAGTAGTATTATTACTATTTTTCAACTTGCTGCAGGACACATGTGCTCACCACAGACAGAGAGAGAGAGAGAGAGAGAGAGGGAAAGTGAGAAAGCAAGCTGCCAGGTCCAGGACTTGAACCATGGTCAGCTATGTTGGAGTCCAGTGCCCCAATTACCACACTACATGCAGGCCCCAAATTCAGGCATTTTAAAAGCATTAAGGTGCTCCTCACACTTCACATCGTTTACTCATTGCCATACCCTGAAGTCAGGCCTGTAACTCCATTCCATGGGTGACTGGATTAAACTAGACACTGGGAGACACATTATATGGAATGCTTATCTCCAAAGAGTATTAACCTTATTTACATATCAATATATAAAAAATTGTATCTATAAATAACTGTAACATTATTTTAGAAATAAATAAAACCCTCAATAACAGGTAGCATAATGGTCGGGAATCAGCTCATAATTAATTTATTCATATTGATTAACTTAAGGGATTTAAGGTTCACTATTTTGATAAAAGTACTACAATACTCTTTCCTCTGAATATATTTGGCAATTTATTGACTGGTACATTTTTCATTTCCGTTCATGCAGTTGAATGATAAAGAAGAAGCTTTGGCTCATCAGAGAAAAGTTAGTTATATGCTTGCTCGGGCGCTGGAAGATAAAGACACTGCCTCAAAAGACAGTAAAGAGAAAAATGTTCTGAGAGAGAATTTACCATTGGAAAACCCCTGGCATAAAACTTCAGAAATTTCTGTTCTTCAAGATCCTATACATTCAGGCATCCAAATGTTTAATTCCAGGGGCTGTGTTTGTTCAATCCAGACTGATCCAAACTGCACAAGAACTCTTAAAAGATCCCGTTCTCTGCCTTCAAGCATTATCTTTTGAAGATAAGCCAGTTAAAATAGAACTGAGAGGTGTTTGTATGAAGACATTTTTAAAAAAAGGTTTTGTAAATGTTGTTATGTCTTGAGAAGTTATATATTTTTCTGCTATTTCTACATTTTAGGACTCGGCTTTAATCAAACTTCTCCATTTTCTACTAGAAATTTATTCTGCACTGACGTGTTAGTAATAAATGATCTTACTGGGGGCAGTCAGAAGCGCAGCAGTAAAGTGCAATGCTCTGGGAGGCAGTCCCATATGGGGAGGCTCCGAGTTCAAGTCCGAGGACCTCCCTGAGTACCCCGGGCACCTGCATGCTCATGGGCCAGGGCAGGCTGAAGGCATCAGCACTCTATCGAGGATGTTATAATGACTTCTCTCTCTCTTGCTCATGGAAGAAATAATACTTTAAAAACATTACATTATTATATTTTATGAAGTTTTCGGTATTACCAACATGTTAAAAATAAGAAAATGGGGCCAGGGCCCATAGGTGATGTGATGGTTAAGGGCACTGGACCCATACATGGTGGACCACAGTTCGAGTCCTGGACCTAGCCACTTGCTTTCTCATTTTCTTTCTTTCTCACCCTGTCCCTCTCTTGTCAAATTAAAATAAATAGATAAATAAAGTTAAATGCTTTTTTTTTTCTTTTTGGAAAGGTTTTTGCTATAGGGCGTGTGCACTCACTAGAAAGAGACAGACAAAGCGAGAAATCACCCCCCCAGGGGGGATGGCCATGCTGCAATCCCTTCTCCTCCGTTCTCCTCTCGGGATCTTGGGCATGCATGCACACATGCCTGGTGTGAGTTTAAGCCACAGGGTCCGGGCCTCCAACCGCGGTCAACTACGTGGGAGCCCAACAATGTAACCATTACACCATCTGCTGGCCCCTAAATAATTCTAAAAAAAAAAAAAAGAAAAAGAAAAATGGAGCTAGGGTGGCATGGTGTGGTAAGGGCATCTGAATCCCACATGGTCAAGTGTGCAGTTCAAGTCCCAGAACTGACTGCTTGGAAAATATGCCAAGTCCATGTGCATGTGTGCTCAAAATCCTGAGAGGAAAATGGAGAAGGAATGGGCCTTGGCTATCCCCCTGTGGGGTGATTCCTCACTTTCCCTCTCTCTGATGAGTGCAGGTAATCTACAGGAAAAAAACTAAAAAGAAAAAAAAAGATGTTTTTGAAAAACAGTTAATTATTTACTTAGATTTACTAAAGGGTTTTCCCTAAAAAATTCTAAAAAAAAAAAAAAAGAAAAAGAAAAATGGAGCTAGGGTGGCATGGTGTGGTAAGGGCATCTGAATCCCACATGGTCAAGTGTGCAGTTCAAGTCCCAGAACTGACTGCTTGGAAAATATGCCAAGTCCATGTGCATGTGTGCTCAAAATCCTGAGAGGAAAATGGAGAAGGAATGGGCCTTGGCTATCCCCCTGTGGGGTGATTCCTCACTTTCCCTCTCTCTGATGAGTGCAGGTAATCTACAGGAAAAAAACTAAAAAGAAAAAAAAAGATGTTTTTGAAAAACAGTTAATTATTTACTTAGATTTACTAAAGGGTTTTAAGTAGGTGAAATCAATACTATAACAACATATATTAATCCTCTAAAAAGTAACAATGCTCAGGCCATCAGATGTCTTGGCGATTAAAACAGCTGGATCCCACATAGCTAACTGTCTCAGACACTGTGACTTTTGAAAGCACACCAGGCGTTGGGGCCAGCAGATGGCATAGTGCTTACATCACTGGACTCCCACATGGCTGACTGCAGTTCTCATCCATATACGTGTGTGCCAAGATTAGAAAAGGGATTGTGGTGTGGCTAACCCCCCGGGGATGATTTCTCGCTTTCTTTCTCTCTGTCTCTACTGTCTCTGTCTCTATCTCTCCATCAAGCACACGTGCCCTATGGCAAAAACCTCTAAAAAAAGAGAAGAACACTACTACATACACCAGCTGCATGTGTGCATGTGACCAAAATCCCAAGAGGAGAAGAGAAGAGACTGCAGTGTACCAGTCACCCAGGGGTATGCTTTCTCACTTTCTTTCCCTGGGAAGCACATACACCTTATTGCAAAATTTTAAAGACTGCTCTTGGAACCAGCAGATGGCATAATGGTTATATTGCTGGACTCCCACATAGTTGACCACGGTTAGAGTCCTGAACCCAGTGGCTTAAAACACGCTGGGCATGTGTGCATGCATGCCCAAAGTCCCAAAGAGGAGAACGGAGAAGGGACTGCAGGGTGGCCATTCATCTAGGGGGTGATTTCTCCACTTTCTCCCTCTCTGGCAAGCACATGCACCCTGTAGTGAAACTTCTCCCCCCCCAAAAAAGGAAAAAGAACCATGGGCGCAAGACAGCACAGCAGTAATGCAATGCTATGTAGCTGAGCTGCATGGGAAGGTTTCTAGTTCACATCCAGAAACCACTTTGACTATGCTAGGGTTCATGATTTAGGGCTAGCTAAGGCTGAGAATTGATTGCTTAGTATGGACTCTATTGGGGATGCCTCTCTTTTGCGAATAGAAGAAACTTTAAAACAAAAGCAATGAAAAATTAGTTCTATCACAAATGTGATAGACCAAGGGATGTGCCCTTAATCATCCCCATCTGTGTGATTGCAAATGGCAATCACAGAAAACCCTGTGGACAAGCTGTACAGACCAACGTCTCATTTACTGTGGGTGAGGGTAGCAGTGGTGGGGGCGTTCATACCAAAGCAGCATAGACAGCATTTTCTCACAGGCAATATTAAAAAGATGTTTCCTAGGCCAGCAGGTGGCATGGTGATTAAGGAGCTGGATTCCTATAAGGCTAACCATGGTTCAAGTCCTGGACCCAACAGCTTGAAAATCATACCGAGTGTATGTGTACGTGTGCTCGAACTCCTGAGAAAATGGAGAAAAGACTGCAACATGCCCTCCTCCCGGGAGAGTGACTTTTCACCTTCTCTATCCCTGTCTCTCTCTCACGAGTGTAAGCATCCTATTGCCTCCCCCGCCCCCAATTATTTTTTTTTAAATTTGCTCTAGGACATGTATGTTTGCCTGAAAGACAGGAAAAAGTGAGGCAGCACTCTCCAGGGCAGATCACTCTGCAGTCCCATTCCTCCATATCCTCCTGGACCTTGGGCACATGCACATGCTTTGCCTGTCTCTCAAGCCATTTGCTCATGGACTCAAACTTCACAGTCGGCAATGTGGGAGCCAGCTGCCTGGACCACCACACTACTGGCTGGCCCATCATAATCTTTATTTTCCTAAGAATTATTTAAGAGTAAGGATCCTGCTGCTAAACTTTGGGGAAAAATAACTGAGGCCTGCTGAGAACAGGACTAAAAGGCAAGTATGTCTTGGTGCCAGCAGGTGGTGTGGTGGTTAAGGCTGCTGGACTCACATATGGCCGACCGTGGTTCAAGTCCCAGAGCTGGTGGCTTGATTTCTAATTTTCCCTCTCTTTTTCTCTCATTCTGTCTCTCTGAAGTAAAATTGAAATAAAAGTTAAAGGAATTCTTTAAAAGAAAAAAAAAAGGCAAATATGTCTGGAAGGCTGTGGTCTAAGGCCATTTTTGCTGGCTGTAAGTGGATTCTCAGGAACCAAAGGGAGCACACAGCTTTTCTTAAAATTGAAGGTGCTTATGCACAATATGAAATGGAATTCTGTTTAGGCAAGAGGTGTGCTTATGTGTATAAAGCAAAAACACACAGTGACTCATGGTGGCAAACCAAATAAAACCTGAGTAATCTGGGGAAAGATAACTTGTGCCCATGGTAACAGTGGCATGGTTTGAGCCAAACTCCAAAGCAACCTTCCTGCTAAGGCCATTGGACACAGAATTCATGGGAGGCTGTAGCCTCAGGGATTTAAAATAATGAAAAGTAAACAAATACAACTTTAAATTTTTTTTTTTTACTATTATATTTTAATTTGACCACAGAGAAACAGAGGGAGAGAAAGTGAGAAAGTGAGCAACAGGTCTGAGACATACAATCAACCATGTGGAAGTCTAGCACCTTAACCACTATGCCACTGGCCAGCCCCAATCTAACCATTTTAAGCACAGTTCAGTAGTGTTAAGTGAATAAACATGTGTTTGCAAAGATCCCTTCAAGATCCTGCTTAGATATGTCCTTATAAACATATACCATACCCAGAAGTGAAAACAATTTTAAATTTCTTGAGAACTGCCACTAATTCCCATAGTGGTGACACCAGTTTTACTATAAAATTCCTATCGACAGTGCATAAGGGTTCCAATTTCTCCACATCTTCCCCATCACTTGTTACTTTGCTTTTTATTTGGATAGTAGCCATTCTAATAAGTGGAAAGTGTTCTTTAGTTTTGATTTGCACTTTATTATTAAAGTTTCCCTAATCCATTTTCAAATCTACATTTCAAGAGAATTGCACTTATCTCACTTTAAAAAAAAATCAATTAATTTTTTTATTTTAAAATAACATTTAATAAAATAACTCAGTTTTACATATTTTACATGTGTGGAATATTTACAAATTCATTTCTGTAACACTTACTTAATGTTTACTATTGAATAATTTTTCATTATTTGCCTTTTTGACCATTTCCTTCAGTAGTAAAATACTGTCCAGTGTTCTCGTAACTAAAAAATTAGTTTCTTGGGCAATCCTCCTAGAAAATAAACAAAAGACAATGTTCATGTTTAATCTAGTCATTTGAGCCTATTACTGCATTCCAACTATGTCACTACACCTCAATTTTCCAGTAGCACTTGTTAAACATTAAGTATACACTGAACAGTAGAAATTTAGAAGGGGAAGAAAGAACCCATCAATAATTCTCATTTATGCTTAGAAACGCCTGGGGCCAGCAGATGGCATAGCAGTTACATCGCTGGACTCCCACATGCCTGACCACAGTTCAAGTCCCGGACCTGTGGTTTGAAAATCAAGCTGGGCATGTGTGCATGCATGTGTGCCCAAGATTCCGGGAGGAGAATGAAGAAGGGTTTGTAGCAAGGCCAACCCCCTGGGGAGTGATTTCTCACTTTCCCTCTTTCTCTCTCTCTCTCCGCCACCCCACAGGGAGTGATTTCTCACTTTCCCTCTCACTGTTTTTTCTCTCTCTCTCTCTCTCACTGTGGCAAGCACACATGCCCTAAGGCAAAAACTTCTTTAAAAAAAAAAAAAGGCGTGACAAGCCCCAGGTGTAGTGGCACATAGGTGGTGGGATGCCACCCTGCAATACTGGACCGACCACACAGAAGACTGATTTGGATCCTGGTTTGACCTGAAATACACCAGGCAAGCTTGTGTACACATGATCCTGGCTTGTATATGCATGATCTTGGCTGACTGGAGGGCTTGGGCATGGGGCCTCACTGTGACAAGACCCTATCAAGGGTGGGATGTCTGCCTGCCTGCCTGCCTCTCTCTCTCAGAATAAGATCAGTAAATGAAAAAGAAAAGTGCCTGAAGTATTCTCAATGAAAGAAAACATAACTACAATAGCACATCCTATCTATCTATCTATCTATCTATCTATCTATCTATCTATCTATCTATCTATCTATCTATCTATCTATCTATCTATCTATAAGAGGATCTGCCTTAGGACGCATGTGCTTGCTGGAGGCCCTTCTGGGGTGAAGGGCCATGCCTCAATCCCTTCTCTTTCATTCTCCTTCTAGGATCTTGGGCATGTACACATGCACATGTGCCTGGCATGAGTTTTAAGCCACTGGGTTTGGGACTCAAACCATGGTTGGCCATGTGGGAGTCCCGCAACATAACTGCTATGCCATCTGCTGGCCCCATATTTTATGCAATTTAAATTTATAAAAAATAAGTAGTTCCTGAGCTGCAATTAGTAGATGGGCTTCTTCAGTCACTAGCTATACATGAGTTATTCTGAATTTGTTTCATTTCTTATAAAAATGGGAATTTTACCTTGTTCCAAGGTCTCCATTCTTTTCCGTTTGGTTGCCACACCTGGATTTGACTGCTCCTTTAAGGTTTCCACTGGACAGTTTGGTCTTGGCAGCTGACATCCAGGTGTTGGTCCTGGCCGGTTACTAAAATATTTTGTTTTTAATGCCTTTCAAAAGAAAAAATACCAAAGAAAGACTTTAGGTAAGTATATGAAATAAGAATTGTGTGAATGGGACCAGCCATCTGTGTAATGGCTATATTGCTGGACTCCCATGCAGTAAACTGCAGTTAAAGTACTGTCTTAAACTCAAGCCGGCCACATGTGTGTGCATGCCCAACATCCCGAGATGAGAATGGAAGAGAAGGGACTGCGGCATGGCAAAAATGCCTACCCTTGTCTCTCTCCTTTTATACATTCTTTCTCTTGAAAAAGTGAAAAATAAATTCAGAAATCTGATTTGGGGCCCAGTCCCAGTGGCACATGCTGCTAAGACTATGTGATCAGGCTGGGACCATATGAGGCCTGGGTCCAACTCCCAGTCCAACTGTCAAGCCAGGGTATGGTGGTGTGCACCTATAATCCAGTGATTTGTGAAGGTGACGCAGAAGGATTACAAGCTCAAGGCTGGCCTGGGCAACACAGTGAGACACCGTCTATAAGAGCTAGGTGTGGTGGTTTGGCCCTCTGTTCTCAGTAGGGAGGGTGAGGCAGGAGGAAATGATAAGTGAAACAGAAAAAAAAGGGGGGGGAGAAATTTTACTTGTTAGGGTTTACCCAAAGTTATTTTATTTATTTATTTTTAGGGGAACAAGAGAGAGAGCTTTCTTTATTGCGGTCTTGCTATGCTGCAATTCTCCTGCCCAGCCTCCCAGTTAGAAAGAACTACAGGAATGCATCACTTGGCCTGTTTTAAGTTGGACCAGGAACTAAACCTGGGCCTCCCATGTGGCCTATGCTACTGTGCAGGAACATCTTACTATCAGTCCCATGTTCTATAACACGGAATCACCTTTACTTGGGTCCAAAATTCCAATAAAGATAGTTGTATCCTAAGTGACATTTTTTAAATGCATACTTGTCTGTCTCTCTCAAATGCACTCACCAGAGAGAGGAAGCAAGGAAGCAAGCTGGCAGATCCAGAATGTGGACTGTGGTCAGCCATGAGGAAGTGAAGCACTTTAACCACCATGCCACCTGCTAGGCCAATAGTGTGTCTTTTTTTTTTGAGAGCTTTTTTTTTTTTTTTTTTTTTTGCTATAGGGTGCCTGCGCTTGCCAGAAAGACAGAGACAGAGAGACAGAACGTGAGAAATCACCGCCCAGGGGGGATGGCCACACCGCAATCCCTTCTCTTCCAGTCTCCTCTCGGGATTTTGGGAATGCATGCACATGCGCCTGGCGTGCTAAGCCACCAGGTCCGGGACTCAAACTGTGGTCGACTACGTGGGACATAGCGACATAGCCATTACACCAACTGCTGGTCTCACATATTGTCTTTTTTAATTGCCAGTGCACACATGTGCTTGACAGAAAAAGAGAGGGAGAAAACATCCTCCAATGGGATGTAGTAATGCTGCAATTCCTTTCCTTATATTCCCCAATCCTGCTGAGTTTCGCTTCAAGTCACTGGTATCCAGATTTAAACCCCAATCAGCCAGGTGAGATCCAACTCCCTTAACACTGGGCTAAGAGCTAGCCCTATTTTGTATCCTCCATGTATTGTACCTTAGTGTTTTTTTTTTTAAAGATTTTCACTGTAGGGCGCGTGCGCTTGCCAGACAGACAGAGAGAGACATAGAGACAGAAAGCGAGAAATCACCCCCAGGGGGGATGGTCACGCCGCAATCCCTTCTCCTCCATTCTCCTCTCGGGATCTTGGGCACGCACGCACACGCGCCCGGCGTGAGTTTTAAGCCACCGGGTCCTGGACATGAACCGCGGTCAACTACGTGGGAGTCCAGTGATATAGCCATTACGCTAACTGCTGGTTCCCACCTTAGTGTTTTTCATTAGATATGAAGATTCGTGACACTTTATTTTAATTAGCCTTTCCCTTCACGAGGTCAAATCATTATATTTTTGAGCTGCCCTGACCTAATCATTTGTAAAACAAGCAAAAAACATGAGCCAGCCCTGTGGTACTAAGAATAAGTGCTATATACAGGGAGCTACATCACACACAGCCAACAGAGATTCAAGTCCTCTCACCACTGGCTTGAAAAACATGCTAGTTCATGTGTGTGTATACCTAGGATGCTGATGAGATGGAGAAACAAAAGAAAAAGAATTTGGTGTGGCCATGCCCTACTGGGTGGTGCTTTCTCTTTATCTGGTGAGCTCATGTGCCCTTTAACATCCAAAAAAAAAAGACTTATTTTTTTAAAGAAATTTTTGCTATAGGAACATGCTCTTGCCAGAGAGACAGAGAGACAGGAAGCATGAAATTACCCCCGGGGGTAGGGGGGCTGGCCATGCTACAATCCCTTCTCCCTTCTCAAGATTTTGGGCATGCCCACACAAGTGCCCAGTAAGTGTCTTAAACTACTGAGTCTGGGACTTAAACTGTAGTCAGCTGGGTGTCCAGTGATATCCAGTGATACAACCATTACACCATCCACTGGTTCCACTGAAAAAAAAGAAAAAAAAAAAGATTTTTTAAAAAACATCAAATCTAGGGCCAGCAAATGGCGCAGTGGCTAAGCTGTGGTTTCATTCCTGGACCTAGTGGCTTGAAACTCATACCATATGCATGTATATGTGTGCCCAAGATCTGGGAAGAGAATGGAAGGGAATGGATTGCAGCATGGCCATCCCTCCTAAGGGGATTTCTCACTTTCTCTCTCACTGTCTGTCTCTCTCTCCAGCAAGTGCACATACCCTAAGGCAAATCCTCTTAAGAAAAAAAAGGTAAAATATCAAATCTACAGGTCTTATATTTTTGTGTTAGATAGCATTTCTCCCTTCTTAATAAGAAAAAATTTTCTTGGTCTTCTAGAATCGGAGTATATAATTTTCTCTTCCATTACCACTTTCTGGCTGTGACAATGATGAACATGCCTATCTGGATTGCATTTTGAGAATCATTTGTTCTTTTTCTCACAAAATGGCTGCTACAAGTTTTAACTTAATATGTAAGAGCACAATGAGGCCTAGTCTCATAGTGCAGGGGTTAAACCTTGTAGATAAACAGCCAGATCACACAAGGCTGACTGTGGTCTGAGTCTGTCTTGGCATCATGAAAAACACAGTGGGTGTGTATACATGCATGCCCCAAATCCTGAGAGGATGAAGAACTGAAGGAAAAGGGATTGTGGCATGGCCATTCCCTATGCGAGGTGCTTTCCCCTCTCCTTCTCTGTCTGTCTCTTTGCTTACTCTAATGAGCACACACACCCTATAGCAAAAATACATACATACTAGTGGAAAGGAATCAGGAGAAAGGACATAATTGATAGCTATTTCTTTTATTACTGCCCATCTGCCCCAGGCTGTGCAGATCAGGCAATTAGGCACACTGGTAGAAACTAAGGCCCTTGTAGAAGGTGTGAACCACTTCATCCCTTTCCAGGTCACACTGAAAAATGGGGCAGAGAGAGGAGTTGCCTGGTCTCAGACTGAATGACCCAGGTTGGGACTCAGGGAGCACCTTGAGATTTGGGATTTGGCCCAAACAGAGGGCCCTTGTGTGGAGAACAAAGGTCCCTAGGCTGGAGCCAGTCCTTGGCAGGCAGGAGCCTGGCGCAGCAGGCGCTATGGGCATGCCCACACAAGTGCCCAGTAAGTGTCTTAAACTACTGAGTCTGGGACTTAAACTGTAGTCAGCTGGGTGTCCAGTGATATCCAGTGATACAACCATTACACCATCCACTGGTTCCACTGAAAAAAAAGAAAAAAAAAAAGATTTTTTAAAAAACATCAAATCTAGGGCCAGCAAATGGCGCAGTGGCTAAGCTGTGGTTTCATTCCTGGACCTAGTGGCTTGAAACTCATACCATATGCATGTATATGTGTGCCCAAGATCTGGGAAGAGAATGGAAGGGAATGGATTGCAGCATGGCCATCCCTCCTAAGGGGATTTCTCACTTTCTCTCTCACTGTCTGTCTCTCTCTCCAGCAAGTGCACATACCCTAAGGCAAATCCTCTTAAGAAAAAAAAGGTAAAATATCAAATCTACAGGTCTTATATTTTTGTGTTAGATAGCATTTCTCCCTTCTTAATAAGAAAAAATTTTCTTGGTCTTCTAGAATCGGAGTATATAATTTTCTCTTCCATTACCACTTTCTGGCTGTGACAATGATGAACATGCCTATCTGGATTGCATTTTGAGAATCATTTGTTCTTTTTCTCACAAAATGGCTGCTACAAGTTTTAACTTAATATGTAAGAGCACAATGAGGCCTAGTCTCATAGTGCAGGGGTTAAACCTTGTAGATAAACAGCCAGATCACACAAGGCTGACTGTGGTCTGAGTCTGTCTTGGCATCATGAAAAACACAGTGGGTGTGTATACATGCATGCCCCAAATCCTGAGAGGATGAAGAACTGAAGGAAAAGGGTTTGTGGCATGACCACAATCATGCTTTGCTTCTCTTTCTCTCTTTCTCTCAGGTGAGAATATATGCTATTTGGCAAAAGAAAAAAAAAATTAAATATACTAGTTTCATAAATATACAATCTTGGGTTTCTTTCCTCACTAGGCAAACTACCTCAAAGCCAATTACAGAAAACAGATATGTATTTATATGTTTTTAAGCAAGTATAAACTATTGTATAGCTATGTATGCATGATATAATTTAGTACCAGTCAGAACAGTGTTCACAGCTTTGGTAAAAAGATATAACGTCTGTTGCTCTGTAAACAAACAAAAACACATCTTTCCAGTATTTAAAGAACATTTGGCAATTTTATCAAATTCTGTTTATTTTGTCACCACTACAGTTAGAACTGTCATTATATTTCCTAATATGAAGAAGATACATTAAATTACCTGTGTGGCCGTAATTCGGGTACACGGATTAAATAAGAATAAGCCTTGTATGAGATCTAGCAAGTCGTCTCCAGCTGCAATGAAGATGTGCTGCAATGGGATTCCAGGAAAACTCTTAAATGTCACATAATCTGGAAGACTACACATGTCCTGTAAAAATATTTTTATAATTCAAACTTTAGTAAAGAATTCAAAGGTACACAGATACCAAGTAAACAAATAAAATTCATATTTATAGTTGAAATGTCTAGAGAAAACTCAAAAAAAAAAATTCATAAAAATCTCAAACTGGAGACCAGCAGTTAGCATAATGGCTACGTCGCTGGATTTCCACGTAGTAGACCATGGTTTGTGTCCCGGACCCAGTGGCTTAAAACTCACGCCGGGCGTGTATGCATGCGTACCCAAGATCCCAAGAGGAGAACGGAGGAGACGAGGAGAAGGGATTGCGGCATGGCCATCCCCCCGGGGGGGGTGATTTCTCGCTTTCTGTCTCTCTGTCTCTGTCTGTCTGGTGAGCACATGAGCCCTATACTATAGCAAAAACCCCTAAAAAAAAAAAAAAAAAAAATCTCCTCAAACTAGTGAAAGAGTAAGGCTGCAGACTATAAGATAAACGAAAAAATTGGGGCCAGCAGATGGCATGGTTGTTAAGGGCACAAGGGCACTGGACTCCCAAATGGCTGACCTTGGTTTGAGTCCCGGATGTGGTGGTTTGCTCTCTCACCTCCCGTACCCCTTGCTCTGTCCCTCTCTGGTCAAATTAAAATAAATAATTAAATAAAGTTAAAGAAAATAAATTTTTTAAAAGAATGATTTTCTGAGGGCTAGCAGGTAACATGTTGGTTAAGGTCACTGGACTCCCACATGGCCAACTGTGGTTCGAGTCCTGAACTGGGCAGCTTGCCTTCTTACTTTCTCTCTCTCTCTTTCTCTGCCATTCTCTGGTCAAATTTAAATAAATAAATAAATAAGTTAATTAATTAAAATAAAATAATTTGCTAAAAAGAAAAAAAAAATTATTTTCTGGGACCAGCAGGTGATGTGGTGGTTAAGGTGCTGGGCACATGTCCGACCATGGTTCAAGTCCTAGACCTGGTGGCTTGCTTTCTCACTTTCCCCCTCTCTCTCTGGTCAAATTTAAATAAATGAATGAATAAATAAACATTAAATAAATAGGGAACAGCCGTTGCCGTAATGGCTATGTCACTGGACTTCCATGTAGACGACCGTGGTTAGAGTCCTGGACCCAGTGGCTTAAACTCACGTCGGGCACGTGTATGTACGTGCCCAAGATCCTGAGAGGAGAATAGAGGAGAAGGGATTGCAGCATGGCCATTCCCCCGGGGAGTGATTTCTCACTTTCTGTCCCTCTGTCTGTCTTTCTGGAGAGCGCATGCACCCTATAGCAAAAACCTGTCCAAAAAAATAAAAATAAACAATACTAGAAAAGAAAAGAATTATTTTCTATTTTTCCTTCCTCCCTTCGTCCTTTCCTTTTTTCCTTTCTTTCTTTTAATTTGACCAGAGAAGGACAGAGTGACTGAATGAGTGAGAGACAGAGAGAGAAACAAAGGAAGCCTCCAGGTTCGAGACTCAAACCATGGTCGGCTATGTGGGAGTCCAGTGTCCTCAACCACCACGCCACCTGCCAGCCCTAAAATAATTCTTTAAAAAATATATATATTATAGTTCTAGATACTGGCAATGTATACAGAAATTTTTTAAAATATACCATTTATAGTCATGCCAAAAATGAAATTTTTTGGTGAAAAATTAGGCTTAAAGCTACACAAGGTTGATGAAAAAAATCAAAGACCTAAACAAATGAGATATACATTAATATACTGGAAGATGCAACAAAGAATTCTCCTCAAAATGATATATAGGTTTAATGTAATTTTTTTTTGGAGGGGGAGATATCTTTTATTTCAGAATTTAGTTCTTTTTTTTTTAAATTTACTGATTTCTTTAGTTCTTACTGTTACAGGAGCACCACAAAATTTGAAGGAAGAGGCTACGGTGTGAAATGAGCTCGCTGAAGGACACGTTAAAATAAAATTTGTAACTACAGTATAAGATACTGTAAAAGCTTTGTCCCCAGCACAGAACCCTTAATCAGGAAAAGTAGTAAAAACTAACCAAATACAGTATTATAGATTTAACATAATTTTAATGAAAATCTTGGCGAAATTATTATACATCTAGACTAATTACCCTAAAATTTATAGGGAAAAGGAAAGGACTAGAGTAGCTAAAGCAACTTTGAGACAGAATAAAGTGTGGGACCAGCACGTGGTGGTTAAGGAGCTAGACTCCCATGTGGTTGACTGTGGTTCGAGTCCAGACCCAGCAGCTTGAAACTCACACTAGGCACATATTCATGTGTGCCTAAAATCTCAACAGAAAAATGAAGGAGAAGGGACTGCAGCGAGGCCATTCCTATTAGGGGGTGAATTCTCACTTGCTGTCTGTCTTTCAGTCTCTCTGGTGAATGCACATGTCCTATAGCAAAAATCTCTCAAAAATAAATAAATAATAAAGCATAAAGAATCATTCTACCTTATTTCAAGATATAATATGGCAAGAGGATACACACACAGACCAATGGAACAGAAGAGAGAACCTAGAAATCCATAAAAATCCAGCCCCAAGGATTTTTTAAAAAGTTTCAGTAAACAGTCTTTTCAACAAATGGTGCTAGCGCCTTCAAACATCACAGGCAAAAAAAATGAACCTTGCCTCAAGTCTCACACATCACACAAAAATGAACTCTAGGGACCAGCAGATGGCATAATGGTTATGTTGCTGAACTCCCATGTGGTCGACTGCAGTTCAAATCCTGGACCCGGTGGCTTAAACTCACGCCAGGCATCTGTGCGTGCCCAAGACTCCAAAAGGAGAATGGAAGAGCAAAGATTATGGCATGGCCATTCCCCCAGGGGGTGATTTCTCGCTTTCTGGCTTTCTTTCTCTCTCTGTCTTTCTGGCGAGCGCATGCACCCTATAACAAAAACCTCTTCAAAAAAAAGAAAAAGAATGAACTCTAAAAAATCCTACACTTAAATGCTAGATGGGCAACTATTAAACCTTTAGAAAAAAAATTACAAGAAAACTATCAGGAAAATTTATGGGTTGCAGCCAGAAGGTTGCATAGTGGTTAAGGTGCTAGATTCTGATATGGTTGACTACAGTTCGTGTCCTGGACCTGACGTCTCGCTTGCCTGCTCTTGCTCGCTCACGTGTGCTCTCTCTCTCTCTCTCTCTCTCTCGTGAGCTCGCCTGCTCTGCAGCAAATTAAAAAAAAATGTTTTTGAGAGTTTTTTTTTTTAATATAGGGCACGTGCACTTGCCAGAGAGACAGAAAATGAGAAATAACCTCCTGGGGGGGATGGCCACATCGCAATTCCTTCTCCTCCATTCTCCTCTTGAGATTCTAGACAGGCATGTGCCCAGCGTGAGTTTCAAGCTGCTGGTCTGGGACTCGAACCACAGTCAATATGTGGGAGTCTAGCACCTTAACCATTACGTTACCTGCTGGCCCCAAATAAATAATGCTTAAAAAAAAAAAGTTTCCATGGGCAAATAAACAAACAACTCACGCTGGGAGCATGTACATGTGTGCATGCCCAAAATCCCGAGAGGAGAATAGAGAAGGGATTTCAGTATGGTCATTGCCCTGGAGGTGACTTCTTGCTTTCTGTCTATCTGGTGAGTACATGCATCCTATAGCAAAAATCTCTCTTAAGGGAAAAAAAAAAAAAAAAAAACAAGAGTTCTTTGGGGCTATGTCATGGTGAGGTGGTTAAGATGGCTGTGTTTTCACATGGCCAAGTGAGGTTTGAGTCCCAGGCCCAGTGACTTGAGAAATATGCCAAACATGTGTGCATGTGTACGTGCATGCCAGAATCTCAAAGAGAGGGAGAGATGGAGGAGAAGGAATTGTGGGATGTCCATCCCTCATATAAGGGGTGCTTCTCACTCTCCCTCTTTCTCTAACTCTCTCTCTCTGGAGAAAGCGCACTCCCTCTGGCAGTAATTTTTTAAAAGAAGAAAGAATAAAAGAGTTCATTGGGACCAGCAGATGGTGTAATGGTTATGTCGCTAGACTCCCACGTAGTCGACTGTGTTCGGCTCAAAAAATTCACGCTGGGGGTGTGTGTGTGTGTGCATACAGAAAATCCCAAGAGGAAAATGGAGAAGGAATTGCAGCGTGGCCATCCCCCCCAGGAGAAGTGACTTTTTGCTTTCTGCTCTCCAGTGAGCGCATGCGCCCTATAGCAAAAAATCTCTCTACAAAAAAAAAAAAAAAAGTTCTTTGAGGTGCCAGCACATGCCATGGTGATTAAGGCACTAGACTCCCACATGGCCAACTACTGTAATAGTCTCGATCCTGGTGGTTTGAAACACACACCAGGCGTATGTGCATTGTGTGCCCCAAAATCTCAGGATGAGACTGAAGGAGAAAGGACTACGGTGTGGCCATCCTCCCTGGGGGGTGATTTCTCACCATGCTCTGTGACAAAAACCTTAAAAAAATAGAGTTCTTTGACACCTAATGTATGATCCATGAAAGGAAAAAGATAAACTTGACTGTGCTGGTCCCGTGGTATAGTGACTGGGGAAGCTACATCCCAAAAGGCTAACCTGTAATTTGAATCCTAGCCAGGTAGCTTGGAAAACATGGCAGATAAGTGTGTATACATGCTCCAAATCCTCATGAGCTAGAGAGACAAAGAAGGGACTGCAGCATGATCGCATCTTATTGGGGGGTGATTTCTTTTTGCTTTGTCTCTCCTTGGTGAGTGCATGTGATTTCTGGCAAAAATTTTAAAATAAATAACTAAAAACCAACCCTACTGTGGCAGTTAAGGTGGGTGGATCCTGGGATCAGCAATTAGTATAAGGGCTATGTCGCTGGACTCCCATGTAGTCGACTGCAGTTCGAGTCCCAGACCCAGTGGCTTAAATTCCCACTGGGCACATGTGCGTGCGTGCCCAAGATCCCAAAAGGAAAAAGGAGAAGTGATTGTGGCGTGACCATCCCATATGGGGGGTGATTTTTCGCTTTCTGTCTCTTGTTTCTCTCTGTCTTTCTGATGAGCACATGCGCCCGATAGCAAAAACCTCTCCAAATAAATAAATAAAGCCAAGCATATGTGCACGTGTACCCGAAAAACAGAAGGGATCACGGGGTGGTGGCCTCTTGTGGAGGTAATTTCTTGCCCCCTCTAATCATCTTTTTCTCTCTGGTGAGTGTACACATCCTATAGCAAATTTAAATAAACAAACAAACTTGATTAAAATTAAAAACTTTTTCTCTGAGGACCAGCAGGTGGTGTGGTGGTTAAAGTGCTGGACTCCCACATTGCCAACTGTGGTTTGAGTCTTGGGTTTAGTGGCTTGCTTTCTCATTTTCCCTCTCTCTGTCTGTCTCTCTGGTGAGCATGTGTGTCCTGCAGCAAACTGAAAAATGATAATAATGATAACTAAAATTAAATAATTATTAAAAAAAAAAACCCTAAATAATCCAAATAGAAAATGGGCAGACAACATGAGAAGACACTTAAAATGTGCCCCCCCCCTTTTTGTCATAGGGTATGTGTGCTCACTAGAGAGGGGAGACACAGGCAGACATTGAGGGCAAAAGTGAGAAATCATCCCCACGAGGATGGCGACATTGCAATCCTTACTCCTTCACTCCCCTTTTGGATTTTGGGCACACACGCACAAGTGTTCAAGCCACCAGGTCTAGGACTAGAACTGTGATCAGTCATGTGGGAATCTAGTACCTTAATGACTATGCCACTTGTTGACCCCTCAGATGTGTTTTGATATACAGATGGTAAAAAAGCACATGAAAAGATATTTAAAAACCATTAGCCATTATGTTCATAAGTAGATTGTTTTCTTAATTAAAAAACTTTTTTTTTTAAATGTTTTTGTAATAGGACACATGTGCATCCCAGAGAGAGAGAAGGTGAGAAACTGACCCCACCTGGGGGGAGGGTCATACCCTATTCCCTTTGTGAAATTTTGGACATGCAAGAACAAGCGCCTAGCTAGGCACATGATTCTCAAGTCACTGGGTTTGGGACTCCAGCTGTTGGCAGCCATGTGGGAGTCCAGCACCTTAACTCCTGTGTTACCTGCTGATCCCCGGTAATTTAGATTTTTAAATTTTATTTAAGTTTAGCTATAGGGGGCATATTCTTGCCAGGGAGGGAAGGAGAGAGAGAGGAGGAAAGGGAACAATCGTCCCTCCCAGGAGGAATGGTCATGCTGCAATTCCTTCTCCAGTCTTCTCTTGGGATTTTGGGCACTCATGTACATGTGCCCGTGTAATTCTCAAGCCACCAGGTTCAGGACTTGAACTACAAAGCTGGCCATATGGTATCCACCACCTTAACCTCCACACCACCAGCTAGCCCAGTAATCTAGACTTTCTAAAATTAAAGTTTTTATTTTGAGATTATTGACAGACATTAAAGGTAAATATCAGTAAAATAAACATTAAAAGCAATTACACTACATTAAACATTAGTGTGGATATTAATGGGCAATTTTTATTGAGAAAAAAGGGAAAAGTACAGAATAAATATTATAAGCATGAGCTCTTAAGTCAGACAAACCCAGACTGATACTTACTGGTAAATTACTTAATTTCAGTAAGTCTCAGTTTCTCCTTGGTTAAAATTGTTGGGAGGATTAAACATAATTTATAAAAAGCCCACCATGAATAGCTCAATAAATTATAGTTACTAGGTCATGTGTTAGAATTAGAACACAGAGCAAATTTCCACTTAGAAAGTTGATTAGACATTAATTTCAGCTTCAGATACTTTTATTACAGTTTTAACCAGAAGAGAAAAATTTCTCTTTTCTAATTTTATTCCCCAGAAAATGGGATATAATTGAAAGGAATATCAAAAGGTCTACAGTTTTACTTCAGGAATGGTGAGACAACATTAGTGAATGGTAATTGCAAAATTTAGCAGATAAAATTACTATAAATTTTACTAAAGATTTAATATTTCCTTTTGGAAGGAAGTAGAACGGAATGAGACAATCAAAATGCTGAAATATCTTGTGTTGATGAAAATACTATAAATATACCTAAATCTATAAAGACTTAATCTGTGAAGAAGACATTGGCTAACATGAAATATCCACAAAATGGATAATACACCTGTAAATAGATAATATACCTTCAGATGGTGTAATGGTTACATCGCTGGACTCTCATGTAGTCAACTGTGGTTCGAGTCTTGGACCTAGGAGCTTAAATTCAAGATGGGCGCATGTGCGTCCAAGATCCAGAGAGGAGAATGGAGTAGGGATTATAGCGTGGCCATCCTCCCAGGGGGTGATTTCTCACTTTCTGTCTCTCTGTCTCTCTCTGTCTTTCTGAATGCACATCCCTATAGCAAAAACCTCTCCCAAACAAACAAACGAAACAACCAGATAATACACCTTTAATAATATATGTTAAACAAAAAGAGCAAGCTGGTTGCAAAAAAAATTATACATAATATATATACACACATCTATCTATTTATCTATATAGATATAAATATGTATGATGTGATACTATTTTTGTTAAAGAATGAAAGAGAAATTTCTTTTTTTTTTTTGAGTATGCTTTATATTGTGATGTCACATACACACAAACACACACACACACTTGGCATGAGTTTTAAGCTGCCAGACCAACACTCAAACCATGGTTGATTATGTATGAGTCTAGCAAAGTAACTATAATGTCATCTGCTGGTCCCACCATTTGAAATTTTGCAATGAGTATGTATCGTAAGTGTATGAAGACGCTAAAGAAATATTTATGTGACATCACTATATAAAGCATACGACAATTAAATGACTTTATAGAATTCTAACTAAATTTCAAAGAAATAATTGAAGGCTTACAGGCCACTGTTCCTCAGTTGGTGTGCCCAAAGTTTCAAATATTCTTGTTAACTGATCAAGGTCCGAATCTCCTGGCAAAAAAGGAACCTGAAAGAGAGTAAAAAACAGATATTTTAAGGCGGTTTGTGATAACTGTAGTATAGATGTATTAAGAAAAACTAGAAAACTCTGTAACAAGTATTAGAAAGTCAGTCTGAGGTATACTGAATGTGGCTTTAGATCTTGTTATTATTAACTCAGTAAAAAGCCCGTTCACTATCTATCTCATTTACTCCACAACTATTTTTCACATAGCACTGGACAGACACTGTGCTAACCACTAGGCATTAAAACAAGTCTCTGCCTTTTTGTGGGTGGAGCTGGAAGACACAGCTGGTACATATAAACAGGCATTTTATGCTATATTAAGTGAAATTATTAGGATCCTAGACCACACAGGA